AAAAAAAAATTGTTGGGGGGGGGGGGGGGGGTGAATACTTTCGCAAGGTACTGCATATATCATATTTCCACTACATTTAAGGAAATTTAGAAGAATGATATAGCAGACCCAAATATATTATGACTTCAAATGAATACTTTCTTTCTACATAGCTTTTGAGTGCCCTGAAAAAACACATGTAAAAGTAACCTGTGTAATGTTTCTGTAACAACACACCACTCTTCAGATATGGTTAGGATCCAGTTGTGGGAGATTTATTTCAAAAGTCCCAGAAGGATGAAACAGATGATTAATGTGCAGGCAGATAAGTATGTAATAACACAACAGTGATGACAAAGACAGGTGGGTGGGTCTCCTTTCTCAGGTTGAGCTCAAGAACACACAAGGGAACAGTCTGAATAAGAATGGACAGAAGCACAGTCTCATTTCTTTAACAGGATCACTTAATTTAAACAGAAAAGCTTTAGGGCATCCATAGGTCACTGTCTCGCTGATAATAATCCAGGGAGTTCCAGCCGGTGCGTATGAATGAATTCAGGAAAGAACACAGGAGAGCACATCAACAGACTGGGAAAGGTCACACTGACTTCCAGGTAAGTACAATATCAATTAAATAACCTCAAACTCTAAACCCTCAGTTCCTTGAACAGAAAACAGTCACTGTATGAGACAATATAAAACAAACACAGGATCCAGGAATATCATCTGGCAGGTAAATAACACGAGAAGAGTGGAAAGTGAGTCCATGTAACCTTTAGAAACTAGACAAAGAGTAACAGAATGAGGGGTGCATTATAATGAGTCTAAAATGCTGATATAATTCACAAGTTCACAACATGCATGCAATCAAAGACGGGCAGTATTTGAATTAAATGTATTTAAAATAGTATTTTGCAATTTGTATTTTGCTGGACAAAAAAATGTAATTTGTTATTAAATACTTTGAGAGGCAGTATTTTGTATTTGGAATATTTAAAATACTTAATCAAGTAGGTCATTTTATTCTCAGATAATACAATATATTTCTTCACCTGTGTTAGTAGTGTTTTTTTGCAACTGACTCATATGACATCCTGTGATCCATAGGCAGAGTCTTAAAGGGATAGTTCACCCAAAAATGAAAATTCTGTTGTTAATTACCCTCGTTTCTGTCTCTCTACAGTCAGCCATGCAACCTTCACATTCAAGATCCAGGACCAGTGGCGGTTCTACATTGAATTACACCCTGGGCGAGACCCCCTTCGAGCAAAAAAAACATTCTGCACAAACAGTTATATTTTATTATATTTTACAATGGGGTTTTTTTTCAATCACCACTAACTTTTTGGGTTTCAGGATTTTTTTTAACCAAAATTTGTATAAAGATGATTCTCAACTATGTTATGAAAGATATAATGGAATGAATTGATACACCATTTTACTTTATGCAATATGTGGGTAAAATGGCCATAAATTAATATTCCCATTCAATGCAATGTATCTATACACTGTATCTAATTTGCATATTAATGTGTTCTTGGAGCAACATTTAATGAAAAAAGAAGTGTAATAATTGGACTAATAATTGGCAACATTTTAATAATAATATCTAATATTTCAAAGGAATATTGATGTATAATTTATTTCCATATTCACTTGTGTCTAATGATGCATTAAATTGGTAAAAAATATTTCTATTTGGAATACAGTTTTTACTGTATTTTTGATCAAATAAATGCAGCCTTTTATACTGTATATAATATTTTTCCCCAGCATGTTTAATTATTAATAATAATAAAAAATAAGTATGATGATTGGTTTAATTATGAAATGAGTAATAGTGCTAATAATGTAAATTTAATAAATTATATTTTTGGACTGGTTTTGTGTATTGACAATTCATACATGGAGCAACTCTGTTATTTCAAAAGATCAAGGAAAACTAGGTTTCACATTATATGACCCCTTTAAAAAGATATAGAGCGATTTGAAATAAAACTGGGGGATGTTTCTTGTTTCTAGTGACTGAACGAGCAAATCAGGCCAGAGACTACATCCTGAAGAAAGACTTAACAGGGTTTGATGGGTAAGTTATCCTTCTGTGGTCATTCCTCATGAATAAAGATTCAAGGAAGTGTGGTAACAGTGGTGTCATTGTAATAGTTCATGTCATATGAGCCCGTCCTTCATATTTTGTTGTTTAAACAGAAATGTTGCCTAAATACCAAAAGGGTAATCATAGAAATATATTTCGATCAAGTCTGCTGATAATACTCTATATTTAGGTTTTAGGAAGGTTATTAAAAGATCTTCCATATTTTCAGTCAAATCTTTTTTTCCCCTTCAGAGTCATTTGCGTGGGTGGAGACGGCATGTTCAGCGAGCTGCTGCACGGTGTGATTGGACGAACCCAGCAGGAGGCGGGAGTTTCAGAACACGACCCGACTGTAATGCTGCAGCCGTGTGACCTCCACATTGGCATTATTCCAGCAGGTGAATGTTTGCATAGCTCCGTGACTGAGGAGGGTGGCGATTGCAGTCTGTTCATAGCACTGATGTATCAGTCAGATGCATGGTTTAGATAGTGAGAGGAGTGTTAGTTTACCTGCTTGTGTTTACTCTTCTCCACAGGCTCTACAGATTGTGTGTGTTTCACTACCATGGGCATTAATGACCCTGTGACATCGACGCTGCACATCATCATTGGTAACCTTCACATCATCTTCAATGGGTGTCTGCAACATTTTAAACATTTTTTAAAGAGCAATAAACCATAAGAAGTCGATCAAATTTCATAACATTTGCAGTGCTGTTGTAAGTGCAAATAAACCATGCAGAATGACCCACAGTACAGCAGCCATAAATAAAATTACGAACATATGCAGTTTTAATTAAATAATTAAAAAGGAAGAATATAAAAATAATGTTCCACTCTGTCTTATCACTCACGTGGTAAAGCTACCAATTGTAACAAATGTGCCTAAGGTTGCCGACCATTGGTCTATAAGGTCTAAACATGTTTTTTCACATATTAATATAAATTTTTTTCCATTTGTTTTATTATTATTATTATTATTATTTTAATTTCTTTGCATTTTTCTTTTTCTTTAAAAATCTTATCTGTTTCAACACAATATAAAATAGATTAGAAAACAGAAATATGAGTAAGGATGAATAGACTACATAACTGGATCTTTTTCCTTTTTTACTCACCAGGAGACTCTCAGCTTCTGGATGTGTGTTCTGTCCATTATCAGTCAACATTGGTGCGTTATTCTGTCTCTATGGTGGGCTACGGTTTCTATGGAGATGTTTTGGCAGAGAGCGAGAGGCACCGCTGGATGGGCCCTCTCAGATATGATTATTCAGGTATCAACGGAAGGAGTCAACTGTCTTTAAATCACTTGAAAATATAGTTTATACTGAATACTGATAGGTCAACACTTATTACTTACCTTAATACTTATAATCATAATTGTGAGAGGAGAAAGAGTCCTCAGTCCCATCTCTGATTGTATTTCCATGTCTGTTTGCTCTGCTTGTAGGTTGTATGGTGTACTTGTGTAACAGGAGCTATCCAGGACTAGTGCAATACCTCCCTGTTGATTCCCATATCTCCAGCCCACGGGACAACACTCGCTGCCTCTCAGGGTAAAGATTTGCATTTGTCCTTTTACCTGGAAATCATATTAGAAATATTTTACTTGCATATAAATATATACACTGACAAAAAAAAAAGGAAATTGCTAGTAAATTTCAGAGAAACAGCAATTAACAAATTCAGTTAAACTTCAAATTCTGAAGTAGAAAGACTGAAAAAGTATTTTCTTGTAAAACATACTCCAATAATCTTTGTTTACATGTTTGAAAAATATTTTTTTACAGTGTAGGTTTATATGAAAACTTTTAGAGATGGGCAGTATTTTAAATAAATGTATTTAAAATATGTATTTATTTATTTAAAATCGTATTTTGCTGGACAAAACAAAATGGAAATAAATGTAATTTATAATTAAATACTTTGAGAGGCAGTATTTTGTATTTGGAATATTTAAAATACTTAATCAAGTAGGTCATTTTATTCTCAGATAATACAATATATTTCTTCACCTGTGTTAGTAGTGTTTTTTTGCAACTGACTCATATGACATCCTGTGATCCATAGGCAGAGTCTTAAAGGGATAGTTCACCCAAAAATGAAAATTCTGTTGTTAATTACCCTCGTTTCTGTCTCTCTACAGTCAGCCATGCAACCTTCACATTCAAGATCCAGGACCAGTGGCGGTTCTACATTGAATTACACCACCCCCTTCGCCCCCTTCGAGCAAAAAAAACATTCTGCACAAACAGTTATATTTTATTATATTTTACAATTTTCAATCACAAATTATATTTCTCAATTGCACAAATCCTTCATTAGAACATTTGAAAAACCAATAACTTTTTGGGTTTCAGGATTTTTTTTAACCAAAATTTGTATAAAGATGATTCTCAACTATGTTATGAAAGATATAATGGAATGAATTGATACACCATTTTACTTTATGCAATATGTGGGTAAAATGGCCATAAATTAATATTCCCATTATGTATCTTGTATCTATACACTGTATCTAATTTGCATATTAATGTGTTCTTGGAGCAACATTTAATGAAGTGTAATAAACGTATAATTTATTTCCATATTCCCTTGTTGTGTCTCCCAAAATGCCTGATAAACATGATTTAAGTCCTGATGTCCTCTACAGTGGACATGTATGAAATCAATGCCCTGTTCTGTAACAGAAAGTCATTTTTTGATTTGAAACCCCATAACGTTTTGACATAACGTCTGAGATGTTGGTTTATGAAATACAATTTGAAAAGTAGTCCGATTTAAATTATAATTACACAGATTTGAAAATTCCTTTAGCTAATTACAGGGCCTAACGTTAACCCAGCTGATGGAAATAAATAATAACTGAACTTGTAACAGTGTTGTTGCAAAGCACAACATTATGGTGAAATTAGATCTCGTGTTTGTTGAGTTAAAACCGAATTATTGTTGTATAAGCATAGCAAGCATCATAGCAAAAAGGCTAACAAACTTAAGAGTTATACCCACCAATTAACATTAGCCCTTCATTCATGACATGGATACCGTAATAATCATACAGAGAGAACATAGTTGCATACCTTTATCTTTTGCTCGTTTCTCCTCTTCTTCTTTTCTTGTTTTTCTAAATTGGGCACCTGATGGCTTTGACCTTTTCCTGTCCATCTCTGTTTATTTGGCACTGGACAGTCAACAGATGTCCCATCCCCCAACACTGTCACTCACGACCAGAAGTCAAGACTAAACCAATTCACCTTGATGACCACATAATCGTTTTGTATTACCTATTTTTATTAGCCATTTCACACAACTCAGAAAAACAAAAATGTGCAGGAACTATAGGCCCGTGTCAAAAACCGCTAATGTCCAGGACGGTAGGAAAGATATCATTAAAGTACTCCATGTGACCTGAGCTTAATGAAGCAACCGATTGGTTGAATTACTTGAACGTGCTCCTCCTGAGCTTTGTTGAATAAACTTCATTTAGATGCAGGTGTATTCCAATTGGATTTCAGTCT